GGGGTGTTGGATTTTGCGGATTGACACTGGCAAGTGCAGCCACATTTAATTTATGATATCACCGTAAATACTGTGTATCTCGATTGTAACGACTATCAATGGTTGTCATGGTTACAATGGTGATGTGCTTTTTTTAATAAATTTTGCCTTTCAAGAAAGGATAAAATAGCGAGAGATCAAAATGACGGGTCCCAGCGGGTCATTATGCCGGGTGGGTCGTTATGCCAGCAAGCTCTGGGGTTTCGCAGAGACTGGACTCACTGGAGTGCGTCAAGGCTGGGGTGCCATTGCGACCAGAGTGTTGGAGGTTGGTGACTTTGCACAAGCGCCGCGGTCATACCGGTCAGCAGTGTACGGAGCAGTTCCAATGGCCGGGGTTGGACAACCAAAGGGGTGCGCAGGGACACAAGGGACCAATGAACTCATTGACATGGAGGTCAAGTACAGTGCACACAAGTGAGTACACGTGTCGTCGAAATAGACATCCACTGCAGAAAGCTGCCGAGGGGGATGGCGATTGGTAATTTACTGAGAGGAGGATGTGTGTGTGTGTGCTTGTCCTCTCCTGTTGTGGCGGTGTGCTCAGACTGTACTGTACTAACAACTACAGTGCGCAGAGACCTGTTCCTTGCTTTCATCGCCTGCCTTCTTCCTTGATAAGCCCTCAGTTGTAACCTTTCGGGGGTGTCATTTGGAGTGAATGTCTTGTGTGCTATCTAACTGTTTTTTTTTCCATCGTACTCCTCTGCTCATTCAGAGAGCATTTCTTGCTCCGACCTTGCTGTTGTGGCTTGTTTCTCAAGCTGTGAGTCTCTGTCTTTGCTTCGACCTTGCTGTTGTGGCTTGTTTCTCAAGCTGTGAGTCTCTGTCTTTGCTTCGACCTTGCTGTTGTGGCTTGTTTCTCAAGCTGACACGTTAAGCCAGATAATGACTCTGTTCGTGCACCCGTTTGTGTCTGGAGAGAGAGAGAGAGAGAGAGAGAGAGAGAGAGAGAGAGAGAGAGAGCTCATTGAGGTTTGCAAACAAAGGGGTGTTCAGTGAGTTAAGGAGCTCGAGCAGGATCTGCTTAGAAATTTGGTGCATCACTCCGTGATGGTCCTCTTTGTGTGTGTGTGTGTGTGTGTGTGCGCGCGCCCCTGTGCGTGTGTGTGTGTGCGCGCGCGCGCCCCTGTGCGTGTGTGTGTGTGTGTG